TGCCTGAAACTGAAGGCACCACCCCTTCTTGTTCAGCAGGTACCACAACCACAAATGCCCCGGTCAAGGGGTAGCATGACCTGGCGCTCCACTGCGCGAGATTCTGGGGCATGAAGGCTTCTTCAGCCCGACACAGTCATGGTGCTAGAAGCATGACCCATAAAACTATCCATATTCGCATGGGTCCTCGCAGGAAAACATGCGTGTGCACCCTTTCAACCACTCATCAACCAGGACATCGCTTCAACATGCACACTCCTAAGCAATTATCGGTCTGGAGGTGAGGTTGCTGCCCAGAAGCATGCGTTTTGGGATTTTAGACCTCGTGAAGGTCTGGAGACAGCCTGCAAAAAGCTCTCGAAATGGCCCCTCCAAGTATCGTCAGGAGTCATTTGGGAGGTAGTGTTTGCAACTCGGGGTGAATGGCTTTTAAGATGATACTTCTTAGCTTTCACGGTTCAGGGCTGTGCCTCCGCGCTAGGGTATGCGAGGCCCTGGGATTTTTGCCAAGCCTTTTCGTGTTCGGGGCTGTTTAGAGTCTAGAGGGGGGGTTGTTTGGGGCTAGCTGCAAATGGTTCGCAGCTTGGTTCTTTAAGGTTTGGGGCTTGGGCCTGTCTGGGGCTTGCTGTGCGCGGCTTTCTGGCGTTCTGGTTCATTTCAGGGTTTTAGGTTGTCGACAGGTTGTCGGAACGCAAAGTTGCATGCCCACCCCACATGGGCCTTACTGCCAGAAAGCGACGATAGGAACACAAGGGACGCACCAACCAGAAGCCCATCGGGACTGTCTTTCATGGGTCGCAGACCTTTTTGCGGCCTTCCGAAGCCTCAAAATGATTGGTTCCAGCAATGATCGCGTGGCCTGGACGTCTTCCACTCTGAGCTGCCCCATTACTTCAAGGATCCTGCAAGCATTCGAAGGAGGGTTCCACGTAGTCCACCATGTCCACCCACGAGTCATCACACTTTGGCTCTCGTGACCCCTAAAATCAGACCACGCAACGCACCTTGCCAGTCACCCGTAAGAGCCTGAACTCCTGCGCCTGCTCCTGAGTTTCACATATTTCCAACTTCCCTCTCGGTCGGGCGCGCGTTTACGCTCCGGCCGACCGCTGTTTGGGAAGTACAAATTTGGGGCTATTCAGGGCACAGGGTTCTTTGAGCTTTGGATTTGTTCAGTTTGCTTGTAGGGCTGTCAAGAAGTGTGGGCAGGGGGTTCTATAGGGTTTAAGGTTGAGAGTTGTGCGCGGAAGCGCATGGCCATCAGGACCAAGAGCACTCCCAAAAACCACCTCGCAGAATTCGAACGAGTGGGAGAATAATCCTTAAGCCTAAGCGGTGCAATGTACATTGCTAGCGCAGCCAGTGGTGCAACCCTGAAACCACTGCAAGAAAAGCCCTTAAACCTCAAGGGCTCGAACTCAGCGGCGGCACCGACCAAGTGTTGATGCGACAAACCAAGGCGATTGGACCGAAATTATGTTTTGGAAAAGCGGTATTCTGCCAGGCAATCCTCTTCAGATTTCACATTTGGTAGGGACGCGAGTAAGATTCAAGAAGAGCAAATCCACCAAGGAAAAGGAAGGAACTTCAAAGACTACGAGAGTCACTGTATGTGTCACAGCAACAGCCAATGCAAGCCAGCTAAACGGTGGAAGTAGTAAATGATGATGTATGTGTCTGCGTTGTCCTCAGCTTCGTCTAGCAGAACTCCATGCAATGCGTCATACGGCATCAAGCATCATCTCCGAGTCTCCCAGTGCTCGTTGAGCTGCTGCTAGTCGAACTTGTGCTTCCGGCACCTTGGCATCCATACCCCCTCGACGGCATGTCTACTGGGAGAATGTGTGATGGCCAGTGTCAGGGGTTCAGGGTTGCCAATGAGTCTTGGCCTGCGACTGTCTCGGATCGGAATCATGATGCCAGCAGGTAGCCGTTCATGCCCCTGATGGCCAGAATTTGAATCCGGACGGCAATAGGGCTGCCTATAACGCTTGGCCAAAAGCAGAGTGAATGCTCCAGGCCTTGAAGGCTGTGACCATGATTGCAACAGCCTCCTGGCACAACGACAAACACGTTCCAACCTACCAGGGTAACACACAACATAGCTCCTCGGGAATCAGCATAATGCTCAGGGTCAGGTTGTAAGCGTCAGCTGCACAGCACCCGGTCTGGTCTGGCCACGTTTGCTTGGACACGCGACCCAAATGAGTACGGTGTTCTCCACAAGCATCTACCAACCACACGTCATAGCCATCCAGCAGAGATTCATCCAGAACCCCGTCAATCACGTTCTGCCCCCAACGCACAATTCCGGATATCCATCTCCAAGCAGGCTCTTCATCATGGAAATCCATAAATGCGCACGCTTGGCACCGAAGAATTGCCGACACGGGCATCAAAGCAGAGCCAACGCGACCGCAGACGAAGCTGGATAGACCGGGTTGATAGCAGCGTCCAAGAGCGGTAACATTGGAGTCCGTACCCTCCAGGGTCAGATTCGCGGTGCAGGTATCGCCCTCCTGCATATGCGTGCAGTTTGTGCCGGCCAATGGCAGACCTGGGGAAAACTCTGTACAAAACGCCCGAGATGTTGTAGTGCTGGAAGACACGGAGTGGGTCAACGTTGTAGATGTGGCAATTGAGACTGATGACTGTGCTGCCGCTGTGCTTGACACTGTAGTGGATGTTGACGCAGTTGATGAGAAGGATATGGTAGAGGAGCTGCTCCAGCTAGATGAAGTTTTGGTAGAGGAAATCGTCGAAGTCCTAGTCCCGGTCGATGTGGTTCCAGTTGCCGTTGTTTGAGTGGATGATGTTCGTGTGAATGAGGATGTGGTAGCAGTGGTTGTGGATGAGGTCGATATAGTGAAAGATGTCCGTGTAGAAGTTCTACTTGTAGTTGATGCTGTGGAAGATGTGGCTGATGTTATTGAAGAAACCGTGAACGTTTCGCTGGTGCTGGTAGAGGAGCTCCGGGTCACAGTAGAGCTCGTGGCAGTCGAGGTGGACCTGGTTTTTGATGTGCTAGTGGAGCTTGTTTCTGTTGTGATGCTTGTGGTGCTTCCGGTCGTACTTGACGTGTGCGTAGTGGATGTGGAGCCAGTGACTGTATTCGATGTTGTTGAAGAAGTCGTAGCAGTTATTGAGGTAAAGGTGCGGGAAGTGTCCGTGGAGGTGATGCTTGAGCTGGTAGTCTCAGATTTGGTTGATGTCGTGGTAGTTGACACGGACAGAGTTCTGGTCCTGCTTTGCGTTGATGTCGATGTCGGGTTACTTGTGGAACTGGCCGTGCGTGATGTGGTGGTAGAAGATGTGGAAGTTGAGGTACCTGACACGGAGCTCGAAGTGATAGTCACAGGAGTGGTGGTGGAGGTCCGCGTTGCTGTTGAAGTGAAAGTCATGCTTGTTGTGGGCGTGCTGGATGTGGACGACGGTGATGTGAGCGTTTTGCTGGCTGCGGTGCACGTTGTTGTAGATGTGGTCTGAGTGGAGCTGACAGTGGAGGTCAGGGATGAGGTTCTTGTCAAACTCGAAAAAGTCAGCGTGAGACTGGATGTGGTCGTCATAGTTTTGCTGGTCATTGTAGAAGAGCTACTGCTGGTTGTACGTGTTGTGACTGTCGAAGCAGTAATCGTTTGAGTTGTGGAGCTGCTAGTTGTTGAGGTTTGCGTTCCCGTTGTAGTGAGGCTTGAGGTGAAGGTCGTGTCCGTGGAGGTGCTCGATGTGGTGGTAAGGGTCTTGCTAGAGCTTGTGGTCTTGGTGGTGGTGTACAAGGTCAGAGTCCATGTGGTTGATGTCGAAGTCGTGCGGGACACCTGCTTTGCATTGCCAGTCCCCCAAGCAAACATAACTGGAGCAGCATTGAACTGAGATGTTCACAGTGGAAGTCGATGTGCGACTGGTGCTTGAAGAGGAACTTGTGGCCGTGCCTGTCCCAGAACTCAGCAGTTCAAGCTTGCACAGCAGGGCAGCTGCAAAGTGATGGCCTGAGGTAGTGCTTGTTGCGGTGAAAGTCAAGGACGATGATGATGATGAGTAGGTGGTAGTGGAACTCTGCGTCCAAGTCCTATACTACAGGCCAGGGCGGCCAGCCCTGCACCCCTTTTTGATCATGCTGGGCTAGGATTCCGGCGTTAACGTTGTGGACGTACTTGAAACTGAAGTTGTGGTCGTTGTCGAAGTACGAGAAGTTGTTGTGCCTCTTGCGAGCAGCTGATCATCGTGAATGGGCTCTTTTTCAGTTTTGAGCCACATCTGCATGCTGAGGCACAGAGTGGTACGGGAGACTGCGGCAGCAACAGCGCAGTGCCCAAGTGATAACCAGGTGCAAGCGCTTCCTGGCAGCGAGCACTGTGGTGTTGCAGCCACATGCTCTTCAATTACAAGAAATCTGCATTCGCTAAACGAGCCTCTGACTCTAGATGCCTAGACCTAGACACCTGTTGCGTTAGTTTCTCACGTTGTCAAGATGCGGGTGCTCAAGCACGGCAGGCAGGCGTAGGCGCATGTTGCAGCTTCAGTGCTTGCACGAACCAGCAAAACGGCATAGAGGACGGATCCTGGTAGAATATAGGGTTATGGAAGAGAAAATGGAAAATATAGAGAATTGTATGGGCAGTGATAGACTCAGGTGTCCAGGCTGCAGGCTGATTCCGCAGAGAACTTGAGGCCCAGGCTCGGCAGCATCTACAAGACCTGGGCCTTGTCCGTCCTCGATGAATTGCTTGCCGACTTTCACTTGAATTCAAGGTCCAGCCTGAAGACTGAAACCTCAGCAAGCCAACCTAGATCACAGAACATGCGCACCGAGCTTGGTGGCATGTTCTTTGACCGCATAGCACTTCCGCCGGCTCCCTAACATGCCCTTCACATCTTGAACTTCTGCAAATGTAACTGAAAATGCCTTCGCCTATCTGAGACCATGTGGGATTCCCCTGCTTCGTAGTCTTGATTCCCCGGCCGTTAAAAGCCGGCAGGGCCGTCCTGCCAAGGCCTGCCCTGGAAGGCACCGCAGCAGACATGTTCAGCCGCATCATTGAAGCGTGAGGATCTCTGGGGGGATTCAACCACGAGTCCAAGCTTCTACACACATGTTAGCGAGCCTGCAATTTGGAATAGAACATCCATGCATAGTGCTGGTGAGCGGAATGTCATGGGCCGCAACTCAAACTGTGCAGCCTCTTCAGGCAGCAAAACACAACTTGAAAGGCATGTCTAGCTTATCTGAAGAGCCACAAAACAAGGGGCTGCAAGCCACGACAATCTCCCCTCAACTCAGCCAGTCCCTAGCAGGGCAACTGCCAGGTAACAAAACACCCTCTGCAGAGAGTGTTTGAAGGCAGCAACACTGCAGCATGATTGCAAGCTGTGCAGTAGGCTCTCACAAGAGAAACAGCTGGAGCGCAACACAAGGATGCGAAGAGAAGCAGGCGGTGGAGAAGCTCCCTCCGGCTAGTGGACTTTCCCCAGCACCACAACAAGTTATGTGAAGAGTCAACATTCTCTGCACCTTCCCTGCTTTGTTTGGCACGCATAAAGCGGACTTTTGCCTTGTTTCAGTTTCACAGGAAGAGGTCATCACATCAACTCTATAAGCGACCCTCAGGTTACAACAAAATGATAGGATTTCCTTCAACTTAAACAGGTGCTTAACATTCTCAATGATAGGCGGGGTGAAACATTGCGTCAGCTTCATTGGCCACCTCAAGTTCTACATTGGACTACTTCCACATCCATTTGCAGGCCCTGAACTGTAGCAGTCTGAGAAACATGCCCAGCTTCGCCCAGGATGTGAAGACGGGCCTTCATTTTTCCACGCAGTCTGATGAAGCGTCCCTTACCTTTAAGTTGCTGAGACTGGCACATTGTCAATTCTATGCAGCGACCCGCCAGAGAGTTCCTGCAAAGTGCTTCATGCAGTAGGTCACCAACCGGCGCAAAGTGGTCACCAGGCATGCGCGAGTTGATTTGGCTAAGCACCATGTGGGTTGAACGATGGATCTCAGCTGTGAGGGAACTTGGTTGCCTGTAGCTCAAGCACAACTTGACAAATGGGCACTGATTGTAGCCTGTGGTCCCTGCGATGCACAATTTACCACATTCCGCAACACTTGCCGCAAAGCTGGGGATGCTCGTGCAAGTTTTGCTTGCATGTAGCTGTTGTGATGCTGTGCGGGCCAAACCAGTTGAGCCGTGCATGTCGCTCGCTTGTGATTTCTGTTCACTTGCGGCGTGCTGGGTAACTACTGCTTTTACTGTTTTTACCATGATCCGTATTATTGTTGTTAATACAGTTATTATTGATATTCCTACTATTATTAATCATGTGGGGCTTCTCCATTTAGCTCCGCTCTCACATGCGTCGTTTTCCTATCTGCAACACTCGGCACACTGCCACCTGGAACACCAGAGTCAAATCTGAGGCTTTCTTTGGCTTTGTGGCTGAAGGCTTTGAGGATCTGGCTGGGGGTTTCAGGACTTAAGTTTCTTTACCTTTTGGATTTGGGGCTTCTGGGCTTCACCGCGGGCGCTTGTAGGAATGAGGTGTTCAGTGTCTATGCCGTTTTGTGCTTAGGGTCCCGCTTGAAGGTTGCCTAGGTGCTTTTGAATCTTATGCCTTGGGGCCAGTAGAACTACAATATCTTTGTCTGTGGCTGTGACTTTTGGGGACTTGCAGGCTCTGTGACTTCGCGCCGCTGCAACGCAATGCGCCAAAATGCGCTTGAATTCGGGCATGAGGAGTTTTTCGAAACTCCATCGCTGTCTGTTTGTATGCCCATTGGAAGTTTCAGGATAAAGAATCTAAGGTTTGAGAAAGGCGGCTGAGGGTGCATGCGGCAGCCACGTTTTCTTGCGGCAAGGGCTGAAACCATCCTTGAAGCCTGTAACAGGAAAGGGTTCTTGGGGAGACCTTTCATAAGGAACCTTACTTGCGTAGCCTTTACCATCACAACCGCGCAGGCAGGGGCATTGATCAAACAACCCTCGGACAGGCATGTACAGACCAGATCAGACCGATAAACGGTTTTTCAGATTGGGGTTAGGGTCTGAGAATTGGGGTTTAGGCCACTACAGCCTGTTACAGCTCGTGCTCCGGATTTAGGAACCAAATCTTCTAGGGTGAAGGGTTAAGGTTAAGACTTTTAAAGTGAGGGTCAGGGTGCTCAGGCTCCAGTAAGGTATCCCGTTCCAGTACTTTAGGCCTGTGGCTTGCAATTTTTTGGTAGGAACTTTGAGGGCTGGGTTGAGGGCTTTGGCGTTGAGGGTTACGGCTTTGAGGTTTCTAGGCCTCAGATTTCCAAGGCTAGAGCTGTGGGGGTTGCAGCGTTCTGATGGTTAGAGGCTGGCGTTGCTAGGGGTAAGGGTGATGGTTTCAGGGTTAGACTGCTTTTTCTTTTTAACCCCAAAAACTTTTACATCTGCGCGCAGCGCATGGGGCCAAGAGTTTTGGTGCTTAATCATTGCCAGTCTGTACTCCCTTGTCCACCAAAGGCCCACGCATAGCGACTTGCAACGTCACCTGCTCTCCCTCTTCGGCACTATGCACAGCTACCACCTCAGGGTTAGAGTTTAGGGTTTAGAGTTTGAGGGAAAAGGGTAATTTTTTTAGACAGAGACACAGTGACCGGACGGGGCGAGTCTGTGGCCCGAACAAAGCATTTTTGGGTTCAGGCTCTCTGTTTCTAGGGCCTGGGACCGTGCCGGATGCGTGCCAGCATGCTTATGCAGGAGGGGCTCAGTGACCAAGATGTGCCGTCAGCGAGGGGCTATGACGAACTTTTGGGATTTTAGTTCACGATTAGGGATTTTAGTTCACGATTAGGGGGGTTCTGATTTTTGGATTGGGGCTTAGTGATTTAGGACTGGGACCCTTGGGTTAGGGATAGGGTTTTGTACAAATTTGTTGGTCGACGGCGTGGGGTTTGGAGTTAATGTGTCAGGGCTTACGGCATATTAGTTCAGGGTCTCGGGGTTGGGTAAATTAGGGGTGAGAGTTGGGGCGTTCAGGGTTTGAGGTGAGTTCTTCAGGATTTCAGCGGCCATCGGCGCGGGGCTTTTTAGGCTGAGGAGCCAGGGATCGAAGGATGAGGGGAGAGTGCATTGACAGGGTTTGGGGCTTTAGGGTTAACTTCAGGATTAGTGTTTCCATGGTTTGGGCTTAGGGTTGGGTGCGCTGTTTAGAATTATGGTAAGCACATGTAAGCGGTTCGGAATCTCCAGAGCTGGGCATGAAAGTGTCTAGGTGCGGGGTCAGGGTTCAAGCCTCTGGGGTCAGGCTTTTGGGCCTTTAGGGCTAGGCAGCGGGAGTTTGAGGTTAGCTTAGGGATAAAGGCAAGAAGCCGCCTAGACATGCCCAGACAAAGCTACTGACAAATTGTTGGTCAGGCACGGACAGTTGCCTGGACAGCATATGCCAGGTAAGGTTCATTTAGTTTAAGGCGTTAAAGGTTTATGTGTCAAAGTTTTTGAATTTAGGGCTAGGCCCAAACAGCCCAGCATGTGTCCGAACGATGCACACGTGTGATCTAGGCTATTCAGGTTAGGGTCATTTTTGGAGTGGAAGTTCAGGCTCTTAAGGGTTAGGGTGAGGGTTTTAGGGTTTGGGCTTGGGTTGCTAAATGTAAGGGTTGAAGGCTTCAGGTTTCCAGGGTTAGGGATTAGGGCTTGAGCTTTATTGAGTCAGGGGTCACGATCTGGGATGTTCAGGTGAGGAGTTAGCAGCTTTAGGATTAGGGGGTCCTTAGCTCATGCAGTGCTAGTTAGGGACTGGGCTTCAGTGACTTAATCTTTTGCATGTTGTGAGGGTTGCGAGTTGAGGTTTTGGGGCAATATGGGTTCTGCATCTTCATGGACGTGCTGAGGAGCAAGCATAAGGCACTGTAGACGAAATTACTCTTCACTTCTGGTATACTTGTGAAGGCTCCTTCACTTCAACTTCGGGCGTACAGTCTGCTGACCATGGGCTGCCTAATCTAGTTTGTTTGGCGGAGGTTCGTGCAAGCGGTGCAAGCACGCTATCTCCGGAGCGAAGGCAGCCGTCAGGCAGCCGTTCTTTCAAATATCACAGACACGCATGATGATCTGACAGTTTTTAAGAACAGAAAGCGCAGGTGGCTAGTGCCACAGAATTCCAAGAATCAAGCCTTGCAAACCAATGCCTGAATCAACAAGCACTTGCTGTCAACAATCGAAAGCGGTCTTCATCGCGTCATCAGCTGTCACCAAATCCTGGACTGTGCTGGCAGCCAGAACCTTATCCAAAGGACTTGCATATTCGTGGATCTTGGCTGTGGGTCCTGGAAATACTGCCAGAATGTGAGCCCAGGGCAGCATTGACACCAGCCGATGAGTGGACCATCTGAAGGCCCATGGTCCAACCAGACCCATCGAACCTCGCCACTTGAAAAGCAGATGAGCCTGCGCTGTTACAAAGATTCTTTCTGAGAATCTTGCAGCCTCGCTGGGTCAGCACGCACTATTCGTCTTGGCCTGCTCTGCAAAGCCACACCACAAAATGCCATGCATGTATTCATCCCAGCTCTGCTTCTGGGCGATACCGCCGTCACATCACAAAACAAATAAAATGAGGAAAGCACCCAACAGTGCAGGTAGCAATATCATCATCCCACTCATGGCCTTGCAACTCATCAAGCTCCCTTTTTCCACCAGAACAAGAGTGCGACAATCTGAGGTGAGAGCAGAGCTTTGGTGGAATCAGGATGAAGGTGCAAGCACGATTTGCATGCAGCCATGGCCTGCAGCAGCCACCGCAGCAACAGTCTTGCAACTATCATAGGATCAGGGCACTTAAAGAGGCCAGCGAAGAAGGCACTTTAACTCAGCGCTTTCCTGGGGCCAAGGCTTATAAACCTTGAAAGCATTGAACCCGGCAATCGTCTCAAGGTGGTTGTGCCGACAGGCATCCATGAGATCATTGACCTGCAAGGCAAAGAAAAAGTCGCGTCCAGAGAAGACGTGTGAAGCAATGGAAGCACCTGTGACAATGGCCGCTCCACTGCAGCTTCGACTATATACTGCTCCTCAGCCAGGTGCCTGGGCCAGCAACAGACCAGAAAAGCAGCAGTCCATGCGACCTCTCTGGGCGAGCGGCACCAACGCACATTTTGGAACTCCGGCCTCATGCTTTGAAAGAGGACGGGTACAGCCATTGAGAGTGCAAAGACCAAGCATCCGGCCGAGAAAAAATCGCCAGCCTTTTTCATGACTTCCTTATCTGGCCTTGTGGCGCTTGGATTCCTCTTGATTCGAGGAGACTTTGTGCAGTCGGCTTGGAGCCACACTCCTGCTCTGCGAACACCTCTGTGTAAACTTTCTTCTGCAATGTGGACACCTGCCAGGCCACAAAAGCCAACAAGTTGGCAAAATTCCAGAGCTTTGAACTGCTTATAAGGCAGGCGGCTATCAAAAGCCAAGCCCACGACATTCTTTCACCATTCCCTCACCGTAAACATTAATTAGCCCACCTTGGGCTCATCTTTGGGCTTGTGATGCCGGTCCCAAATCACTAGTGTGGTCGTTTTCGTCTTCGCCTGGCCAGACGTGGGACAGAATTCGCCCGCTGCGAGCAGAGCAGCACAAGCGCAGTAATGGGCTCAAGTCACCAGCTCTGCAGTTAAACCGATGCCGGACGCTGAACTCTGGCCGCGGACGATGACGACGTCCTTGCAACTACAACTTGCTGAGTCTTTCTGGCAGAGCGGCAGATGCTGCAAGTCTTTGCCGGCAAGCAAACAAATCAAGACGAACATCTTGCAATATCTCATTTGCCTGGTTCGTACAGAGGAGTGCCACGATGCATGCAAGATTCACATCTGCAGCTGCAGCTACTTGAAACTCTCACAGACCAGGAAGCCATGCAGGCATGATCTTCCCCACGCAAGCCAGTCCAGCGGCTGTGTCTTCGGCTTTGGCTTTACAAGGACTTGTTGGAAGGCACCTCATCAAGAAGCGGCTCAACATGAGCTAACCGGTGCATGATTGCTAGCAAGACCATTCGGCCTGTGTCCGTGCTTCCTGGCCACCGCGGAGCGCCCCGCCGAACATGAACCTGGCTGCCTCCACCAGGAAACTAACACTTGCGCGAGACTGCATGTGAGCTGTTCGGCAGAAGCCTCCACCCATGAAATCTGAAAGCCCGGCGAAAGCCCTTCATTTTGAATTTTGACGCCCTTGACTGGATGGAGGCATTCCTTTCTGTAGAAGGAGAAACCCCCATCCTTGGTACTGGCACAATAAAAGCAGTATCAATGGCCCCTCACAAACTGTTCAGCCTCCCAACTGAAGCGGTGAGTCTGGCCTCGCAACAGTCTTTTGATACTTTTTGATGCAAAAAATACGAGTACGCACGTGACATGCAGCTAAGCCCGGTGTGATGCGCCTGCTGGACTCTGCCTCTACGCGTTCCGCAGATCCACAGAACAAGAACTCTGCAGTGCCACTTCCAGCTCCTTAGATCCGAATTCTCTGCGCAAGTCCTTCTACACACCATCCGATACTGCCTGCATCACAACGACCGAAACACGGTTGGACATGAAGCATGTAGCCCGGCCTTTCTCATAGCAAACACACTCGAGAGGCCTCGATACGCATGAGTTTGAGCATGCATGCGGTCTGAACAGCTGAAAAATTCTCGAAACCCAGGCTTCTGCAAAATATGGCTTTGACAAAGCCAAAGCCTAGATGAGTTCCTTCTGCTGCAGCCAAGGCTACAAAAAAACTGAGGCAATGGCATGCTCAACAAGGCTGCTGTTGTTCAAAAAAATGCTGAACCGCAAGAATTAGCTGAGACCAGCGCCCATACTTCTGCAACAATGTCGACACATCCTGCAAAATGCAGCTTTTGTGGTGAGAGAAATACGGCCGCACCTGGCCAGCTCTGCGAGAAAGCCAGCTGACTTCCTCCTTTGTCAGCCCCCAAACGCCGCCGCGGGAAAAGACCCTAAACCCACCGCGACTGATCCGAAGTGCGACACAACAAAAACTGCACTACACCATCATCCATAGCTTCCCAAAATCGAACTACAGCAACAGCAAGGCAAATGAAGAAGCCATTGCGCATACAAACTTTGCACTTCTTCAAACAGCCCATGGAAATGGCCGGGCCACTGACGCAAGCCTTCCAGCAGCTGCTGGATGGCCAAATGGCCCAAACAGGCACAGTCAAACCCACTCAAGCCAGAAGTAACCCGTCAAAGCAATTTGCTGTTGCAAGATGAGCTGTTCTCGGTCTGAGCTGCAGCGGAAAATCATTTTCTGGGCCTCCTCTTTAAAAAATTAGCCAAATTACTGAGAAAATCCGGACCGCACAGGTCCCTCAACACATCCTGATGCAAGGATCACCCCCGTAACTTTCAAGTGCTGCAAAAACGTCCTCAGCGCTGCATTGCTCCGGCACGCCGCGGAACACCACCTGGCAGAAGGGGATGGGAAGTTAAAAACCTGGTGACACGCGCAGTGATTCACCCAAAGCTTTCTTCGCAATCTTCGAATAGACGCAACGCATGAGCAATGTAGCGGATCTTCAACCTCTGACATCAAAACACCTGACGCACCTTGTTGGACAGGCTGAGCTCACCTAGATCGCCGGCCTTTTTTTCCAAAACATGTTGTTGACTGATAGATGACAGGTTACACTTCAGGAGTAGCAACAAGAAGACTGCACAAGATGAAGGCTTGTCCTACAGTGGCAGTTTGCAACTGAGGTCGACTCCACCATTCAGTGCACGGCCACAGCAAGCTGACTACTTGCTCTCATAACATTGAATTCCAAGCTGGATTTGAACCGAGCGGCGGTCTATTCATGTGGGCGCATGCGTGGTGGAGGCAGGGGTGGGTTCTCAACGACTTCGTTTCAAGGTGGAATCCCCTTGTGGCCTTGCCTGCGGCGCCAAGAACAACAAGAGCCTTTTGTTCGCGCTCACGCTCCATGCATCACATGCCAGGAACTCCAGCAGCTGCCGTTCGGCATGTGGTCTTCGATCGTGCTGAACTTGGACAGGGCGCAGCAACGGCTTCGCATCGTCTGCTACCGTATACCCATGACATCGCGACCCGCTTGCAAAGCTGCAACTTGCCAGACGAGTAAAAGGGCCCAAACGCAAAACCCAGGAAGCCCATGCAGCCAAGTGTTTTGACGTTGGATCCAACGCAATGGATACGCGAGAAACTGAACATCTTCTAGTTGAAGATCGTGGACAGCCAAGCCAAGTGTCAGATCCCAGCATGTCAAAACCAAATAAAACATCTTCTGTGCCAATTGGGCTGAGGCCAAACTGCCGTTCAAGAATTGCATTCTGAAGTCTTGCCTGATGCCTCTCATGCTGGAGCTCAGGTCGACAAAGGCGCTGCAGTTGCGCCGTGACTGGCTTCTCAACAACATGTACGAATTGGGACCAAAACTGCGCATCTATGCGCCCGTGCCACTGCAAGATCTCTGCAGCCACCACTGCTTGGCTGGCTCCCTGCATGTCAGAGACCCGCGATTGCGTGCACTGCGGCATTGAGAGCTGAACCTGCGCCCACGAACTGAAGGCGTCCATGCAGGGAATGACATGCTCTCCAACAAAGCCAGCTTCAGCAACATCAAGCACCATCCTCAACGTGACGGGGTCAGAGCAACTTGCGGGCGGAGCACATGCCAGAACATTTGCAAGCACAGATTCCGCTACCTGGTTCTCTGCTGCCTGTTGACAAGCGGATGCCACCAAGTTCATTGCAACCAGAGAAGATAGTCGTGACGTGGTCATTTCATGTAAACAAGAAATGGACAGTTCCCATGCATGGCCAGTTGCACAAGCTTCCAGCACGCCATGAAAAGTTGTAAGGTTCGGCACAATGCTCTTTTCCAACATGTCCTGTAACAAGATTAGGGCCTGTAGCCAACTCTCCTGCTGTTTGCAAGAGCCGAGGACGGCATTGTATGAAACCACATCCGGCCACGATCTAGAAGGCTCACCTAATCCATTTAGCAGGGAAAGGGCTGCCCGCCAGTTCAGCACCTTGGCACAGCTTGAGATAGCCACATTGCAGGCAGTAGCATCCGGCAGGGCACGTGCTGTCAGCGCTCCGTCAAGGACGGCGACAGCCTGCTGCCACTTCAATCCGGCTTCGCACGCTGACATGACAGTGGTCAGAGTCACCATGTCAGGTTGCAGAGAGGCACTGGTGGCTTCGAGGAACAAGTAGAGTGCCCTTTCCCACTGCTGGCCAGAAGCACAGGCCCCCAGGACAGGATTGCAGAGTCCAGCCGTCAAAGCAGGCCAACTTGAGGTCATTCCAAAAAGGCAGAGAGCGGACTCCCAGCGTCCTGCAGCTTGACATGCACGTAAAGCAGCCGCGACGGAGATGTCACCCGGCTGCAGGAACTCTTGAAACATCCTTGTCAGGGTCATGATGGCCATCTGCCAACCACTGCCCTTCTCCCATGCGGAAATGAGTACTCCTAGAGAAACCTCATCGGCTTGGAGACCTGTTCCTTCAGCCTGCCCACAAATGGCTACAGCTTCTTGCCAGGCACTGCTCTTTTCGCAAGTACTGGCAGCAATGCTGAAGCTTGCAATGTCTTTTGTCGAAACACTGTTCAGAATATGTATGGACTGTCCCCACTGCAGCTCGGCTTCCAGAACTCCTAGCAGAGCATTTGTTGATCTGGCAGTTGGTGCAATGCCCGAGTCTGGCATCAATGCATACACAATGTGAACAGCAGCTTGCCAACCAGGGTAGTTCCGGCAGGCTCTCACGAGAACATCGTACGTGACGGACGTTGGCGTCACCGTCATGCCTTTCATGTCCTCCAGCATTGCAAACACCAGCTCCCAATTGCCTGCTTTCTCGAGACTGTTCAAAGCGGCTGTGTAGACATAAACATTTGGAGCCACCACCGAAGATTGCATGCGGTCAAGGAGTTGTTGCGTTGCTCGCCACATGGATCCCCTCTCCAATGCACTCATCGCTGCACCGAACACTACCACGTTTGGTGTGGAAACACGGCCTGTATACTGCAAAATGGATAGGGCAGACTCCCATCGTCCTGCGCGGCTACAAATGTCCATCGCCGTTGCCGCAGGCACCTGCCAGTTGCCCGGACCACTTTTAGCATCGCAGGCCGAGAAAAGGATGTGCAATGCCCACTCCCACTGCCCCCAGCATGCCCCCACTGCAGCTCCACATGCAAAGGCATCCATGATAACCTCCCTCTCCAACATGCAGTCCAAAAGAACTAAAGCAGCTTCCCACTGGCCCGTGGCAACACATCCTTGCAAGATAGCCATAAAGCTGCGTGTGTCTAGTTGTAGACTCCTTCCCTCCACATACATGAGAATCGACAATGCTGCCTGCCAGGTATACGGGCTCGCCGCAGCGCAAGCTGCGGCGGCAGAATTATAAGAGACAATGTCGGCTTGGAGCAGCCACTCGGAAGCACAGGTGGCCAAGTCAAACGCTGCTTGCCACCTTGCTGCCCTTTGACAGGCAGAGATCACGGAGTTGAGCAGAATCACATTGAGCTCAATGCTGGCCTTGGAGACCTGAAGGAGCAGATTGAGGCTGTCTTGCCACAACTTCTGCCGACCACAAGCTGCAATGGCAACGCCCCATTCCTGCAGCTAGATGTCAAGAAGCAAGCCAGCTTCGCGATTGCCATACAGCTTCCGATAAACGGGACCCCGCCTTTGCAGAACGCACTCCTTGCCCAGGGTGCACTGAAGTGGCCTTGCCATCCCATGCACAAGCGAGGCATCATTCTCACGACCAGGATCACTGAGCAGCTCGTGCATTAAGTCCAGGCCTTGCTGTGCAGGAGCATGAGCTGCTACATCTGCAGCATTTTGGGGGGTGGACTTTAATTCTACGTGAAAAGCCTGTGACAGAATGGCCGAAAGCTGGCAAATGCACTCACAACACTTGCGTTTCTGTCAGTACTCTGCCAAACCTGGGGCAAACGTTCATGCTTTTTAAAGAGGCTTTGACTCAGGAGGGTGGCATTTGGCCAGCGCCTCCCGAAAAATCATGACTTGTGAGACCCAAGCCATCCTTGCAAGATGAAACTAAACCAAACAGAAGCATTTTGCAATACGCGATTTCAAACCAATCAATCTAGTGACTTGGCTTTGCTGGCGAAAGGTGAGACGCGGCGGTGCGTATTGCACAGCTCCTTGGCTCGAGACTGCCGACGTTGCACAAAGTGTGTCATCATACAGATCACTCAGCTCTCACTTCGATTGATTGCACTTCCTGGCTGCACTTGACAAGACTGCGTTGCCCTCGCGGACTTCTACAGCCAAAGGAGGGCCCAAGACTGATGCAGTCCTGGGCATGGGCAAACCTGAGGCAAGCAACATCCATGCCGGCACGCATGTACTCAGACATCTTCTGCTCAACGTACACCGAACTTAACCACCACATGGACCACAATGTCAATAGCCACATGAAAAGAAAAACCAAGGAGCAGGTACTGCGCCAAAAACTCGATTGGATCTTCTGGCTGCTCTTTGCAAACCTGATGCTGCTCAGAAACTACCCTGCCATGTTACTCCGTGACATGATTTTTCCTGAACGCACAACCTCTGTACAGGCCGCTGCCCAACTATCCATGCAGCAACAATGCAAAGAAGTTCCTCAAACAAATCAAACATCCGCCCCATGTGACGGACGTGATCGTACAGTCATGCATCGCACAAGTCTTGTGGCAAACTACTCCTCCAACTACTCCCAACTCGACAGTGACTCTGCCATCCCCGCATGCAAATCATAGGTAAAGGATGGTTCTGTGTCGCAGAAGCATCCGATTGGCGACTGAACTACCGCAACATGCAACAAAAAGTCAGCTCAAGACATAGAATCCAATGAAATGAGAAAACGGAAAACGAGCCCCTGTGGCCAAAAGGAAGCAAAAACTGATGAAGCACGCAATCCAACGGCAAGCTGCAGGCTGTCTACCAGGCCTGCAGGGGTAGAGTCAAGCTTTGCATACAGTGGAAATGATTTTGGAAGTTCAGTCTGCCCTTTGCTCCTTGTGACCCTGCTGTCGAGCTCTCATAGCAGCTCATTCATGCCCCGCAATCCTACAATGGCAGGTTCCCTGGTAAAATCGCCACTGGGCTGCAAATGCAGGCTGTAAAAAGGCCCTGAGGGCCCAGGGCTGCAATCGGCTGGCAGCAGAATTTTGGAGGTTTTGGCAAATCGAAATAAAACCTGTTGGCCTGAGATTTTCGAGTCACGAAAGGCGATAAACGCTGCATTGCTCCAAAAGCCCCATCTTGCAAACAGTCCTGCACACGTGGCAAGTGCATTGACAACTATGGAGCAAAGTGTGCAGCAGAGCCCCAGATGCCAGCGTCATGGCGTGACCATTTCTACCCTCAAGGAACCCAAAGCTGTTGGGCCGGCAAGTCGAAAAAAGCCACGAAAACAGCTCCCAGATCCCTCCCACACCCTGCTCCCTGCCGGGGTCTGGCCTCAAAGCCCATGCAATTGTTCGATAATTTTCCGCAGACCGGAAAGCTCCTAACCTCACTCTCTCCCAACGCTCTCGTGATTCGACTAATTACTGACAACATGAGGGTGAATGCAGCGCTTTCAAGGCTGAGGTGTCGCGTAAAGACTCGACATACATATGCACTGGCACCTCATGTCCCCCTGCCTCAGTAAGCCCCGCTGTTAGAGTTGGAACAACGTGTGCCCTGTCACGTTCAGTCACGCTTCTGCATGCAACAATGAAGTTGGTGTTGAAAACATGTCAGGCTGTCATGAGGTACTGCCGCAGGGGCTGCGCCTGGAGAAAACATGCACACATAGTGTCTTGGCAACCCTTCCCTCGGCAATGTTACCTGCATGGTCCAGCAACGAGCACAGCTTCACTCTGTACAGTGGCCTACATGACCGACAATCGTGCAGCCTCCGCGATGTAATTGCTTTGAGCCCTTTGCTCAAAGACATCAATTTCAGAGGGCGTTACTGGCAAAGTTCATGCAGGAACATAAGTCTGGAGCAGTGCATGTGCTAAAAGACTGCAAAGGCTTGCCATCACGTAGTGTGTTGCGACAATGCCTCTTCCTACCTTACCCGGCCGACGCAGCCACCAGGCGAATGCTTGGCCGATCAGTGGAGAGCCTACTAGTGCACATGACATCATTTGCTGCATCTTCAATGCAGCTTGAACTGCTGCTCCCCCAAGTGCTGGGCACTGGTCCTGCACAGCAGAGGTGAGCATTGCTCTCATGGCCGACTCAACGCTTATTCCTGGAATTCCTAAAACCAGAGCAGCTGGCAAATGCCACCACTGATACGTAAGCCCACGCAGGGCAAGATCAGCCGCGCTGAAAAGGGTGCCAGCGAGCACAATGTTTCGAGCTGAGAAACGCTTTTGGCTTCGGCGGAGGATACTGCTACCCAGGAAAACGCAGAACCCCCAGAAGCTAAGAAGCTTGGACATCTGAGTACGTCCCCAGCCAAGACGAAGCTCCATGAAGGAGTGCAAATAAGAATCCACGCATCGTGTCATACATTGGACCGAATACATAGTGGCAAGTCGGGCCAAGTTCGAGCCTTGTCGAAATAAAAGGGTGGCAGATTGTAGTGGGTTCAACTTGTGAAGCTCGATAGCTTTGCGTGATGAGGTCTCAAGAGTCTCCGGGATTCTGAGAACAATGCCAAGAACGACACTGCTCAGTGCACCAGCAGCCCAGAATGGTGCTCCAACTCCGATGCTTCTTCGAAGCACAATCGACAGCAGAGGAGCGACCACAACGGCAAGGCCCACGTATGACTGGTTTGCAGCAACTGCGTCTGCGAGATCCTGTGGATGATGTTGTAAAAGATCCGACTGAGCAGAGCTGCTCACGATCAGAAATGCTGTGCTCGTTACTGAGGACAGAGCCTTGATGCTGGCAACAAATGGCAGCGCAGCGAGACTCCGCGGAACTAAGGCCGCAAGCAATGACCAGCCACATAATTCAAGGGGTCCGGCAAGCAGTAGCAAAGGTCGTCGTCCGTATGCATCTGCAAGGGCACAAACTGCAGGCATTGCCAGGTCTAATAGTAATTCGGTCACCTTCTGGTATGTGGACCAATGAGCAAACCTGTGGGGATCCTGCTGGCATACTTCAAGAAGAAGCACAGACACATCCGAGTGGATGAGAGAATTGCAGAAAGTCTGCAGAGCTGCGCTTGCTTGCAGAAGCCGCACCTGCTTTACGATCCTCCCCGCTCCATCCTTGTCCTCATAGCTCGCAGTCGCAGGACTTCCTGTTCTGAAGAAAATTCAAAGGTTTGGCCAAGTAAACCTGCCTGTTGCAAGTGACATCCGACACACGCTGCATTTCAGGACAAGCAGCAGTGAGTAAGGTGATTGGCATCTCGCAGAAAAGAGAGTGCAAAACAAGTACTGTACCAAGCCAGAATGTGAAGCAACAGCGCAACACGGAGGGCTACTTCACATTCCGTCTCCCAATCTCCTCAACTACAAATTCAAATAAAATGTGGAAACACATGCCTCAGGTACATGCTGTCGACCTCTCATACGAGCATTACAAATTTTGGTCTCAGTTTGGTCACAGGCACCCACGCAGCTGTTGCTCTGCCAATCCGGGCCAATGCACTCTTGGTTGTTGATGACTTGGGCCATCATGCTCAGGTCTGGGAATCAACAGAGCTCTTAAATTTATACTGCGTAGTTCAAACCAGAAATCCATGCCATGCCAGATGTCTACCTACGGTGTTCTTCTCTGCTGCAAGCCAAAACGAGGGCATTGTCTGTGTATGACTGGCCATGTTGCCGTATTGATGATTGCACACTTCGAGAGTGCATGCTGCGGGCAGCACAAGCCCTTGGAGCGCCTCAGCCTCCAAGTGCGCTGCTTCGTTCCGTGCTATGACCTGTCCACAATTGACAAGTGAGCGTTCCACGGGAACCAATCCCAGAAGTCTGTGCAGGCGTGCCCGGCGGCGCGACTCTTCTTCATCCGCAAGCTTTTCTCGCAATGCAGCCTCCTTCTGCACCAGTTCCTGCAAATGCAGGTCTCACTCTGTTTGCGGTGCTAAAGATGCATGGCAAACCCCATGCGCTCGGTCGGCCTTCTTTTCTTGTGCCTTTTGCACGTCCTTTTGCTCCTCAAGTTGTGCCTGCTTTTCCTGCTCTTCGCGCATCAGATCTTCCTCCGACCTGCCGCAGAAGCGGGGGAGGTTCCACCGTCCAGCAACACGCTAGTGAAGACAAACTTGGCCTCAGGTAATTGAAGAACTGACCCTTGGATTCCAAGTGGATTCGAATGGCCTTCGTGCTGCAAAAGGTGCCTCTTCCAAAAAGAAGACTTTGCACAATCCGTCCCGCCTGGAATGCCTCGTTCTCACTGCAATTGTCCACATCGATGGGCAACATCTTAGGATCAGAAACATACTGCAGCGCCTATTGCCCCACAAGTACATTTCACTTAGCAAGCAAAGACTTAGTAAGACTTCCTTCATCTCGCTTGGCCGGCCAAGCTCGCAGCAGCAAGTCCGCACTGCTCCAGGAAGAACTCCGCGGTGCTAGGAGTTCCATCCTGCCACACTGCTGCGGAAGACGAGCTCAAAGAGCTGCTCACGTCAAAGTGAACTCCGCTCTGTCAGCCGCCTCGGCGAGATTCGCGGCACGATACTCTGCTGTTTCTCGCACGAACTCCTCCAGTGCTAGCTGCTAGTAGAGTGAGCAATGCAAAATGAGCAAAAATCTCGTTCCCACATCCGCGCAACAGATGAATAGGGGCCTCCTCCGAAGCCGGACCTTTTGCATCACCATGAAATATCCTCGCCTGGGTGCTAGGCCCGCTAGGTTTCCAGCCGGAAGCATTGACCTGTTTTTCTGAGGATATCACTTTGCAGCGCGGCTCCGATGATTGTATCAACACGCCGTATTCTGGGACCTCAAAAGGCCACACCCAGCAGAGTAGTTTCGTGTGCTAAAGCAACTCGGAATGACCTGCCACATGGTCTAGAAAAGTTCTTAGGACTCAGACCAAACCCTCTGCAACCTTGAACTTTGGCCTGCATTGTGGGTGAGATGATATCATTGGCTGGGAAAAACCAGTCACACACCGATCGCCCATTCTGCCTCTCGACTTCATCCTCATCCTCCTCCTCCTCTTTGGTCGGAGGGATCTCCTCAGCTTCCTGACAACTGCAAACAAAAAGAAAGTTGTCAAAGCGCATCTAGCTGAAGCTTGACAGCCCTCAGGCTCACGGCGAGCAGAAGGTCGGTGGCTTCTATCAAAAGGTGGGTCGGCACAGAGAAGATCAAGGCAAAAACGCCAGAAAGCTGTTCGATTCGGAAATGATGCTTGTGAACTCTGCAAGTTTTAATCCTCGCCTTTGAAGAGCGGAAAAGAATGCCCTCAGATCAAGAATCTAATGCAAAGCTTGATTGGTGATGCAGAGGTGTTGGCAATTGGAGCAAGCATCTGTACAAAAGAACTAGACATCAAAGAAACCCCCTTCAGTGCCCTTGATATCTGGCCCAAACGTCTTGTTCTAATGCTTTACTTTTCCATGCTCAAACACTTCTCCCCGGTTCGTTCAGAAACGCGCCTTACACCATGCGCCTGACAAAGCTTGATGGGCCGTATGTTCAGGACGACTCAGACAAGTTTTCTGGCAAGAGTGCCAAGATTAGTCCATGCTCTTGCCGCGGCAGCCGGACTATTTTGCCTGCAAATGTACTACTTGGCTTCCCTGACAGATAATGTTAAAATCGCAGTTTCAATCTCCATTGCTGCGCCGTTTGAAGCTGATCGGATGTGGCTGGTGGGAGGATGCAACTTGACAGCTCTAGCCAGCCTCGGTTGATACAAGCAGACAATGCAGCAAGTAAGGTGCAGAATCACATATAAGATAAAGACAGTGTGCTGCTTGCCTTCACTGCCTCAAGCATCTCTGACAAAACATAGCTCTCTGGGTCGTCCTCCTCTTCTTCCTCCTCCACATCTTCATCACCTTCGTCTTCTTCCGCCTACCAACATGATCCCGCAAGTCGGCCGCCCACAGCTAGGCAACGTCAACAGCCTGTTGGCTGATTGCCCTGACAAAAGCAAAGCTGCTTACCAGGCTACTTAAAAGGTCACATGGCTTCAGACTTGAAAAAACTTACACCTGCGCAGTGTAGGCCTAGAAGTAGCATCTGCGTCAGCAGAAGTTGTGATCAAGTGTGAGCCCAGCAAGGCTGACCAGGTGGATGCGCAGCCAGCATGTCGTACACACTTACAGAGATTCCGTGCAAACCCAAGCATGAAGCGAGACGGCCAACGTAGTTTCTGCTTGCAGCCTTCCAGCAATAACAAAAAATGAAACAATATTTTGGGGATCTTCGGGTTGTTCGTGCAGTGACCACGGAAGGGTAGCTAACACGAGAGAAATAGCAGAGCGGTCTTGAAGCAGACCGGGCCATGCAAGGGTAGTGAACCACGCAAGCGTGTAAAGTCTTCAAGCATGACGTCTGCCAAGGCGCCGAGCCTCTGGTGTGTGTCAGGGGAGAAAGTCTCTACCCAGCTTTCAAGTGGTAGGGTTCGAGCGTGCTGACAACCGGTTTTCTCAGTGCAAAACTCTGGCGAGGCCTGAGGGTCAGGCCGGTCTCTAGGGGGCATTTTGCAAAAAACAAAAAAAGCCACCCCCACCTTCCACTTCTCCCTTCCTGGAGACTGCACCAGCTTTCCTGGCACGCGACCCGAGCCGGAGGCCTCCAAAGCTATTTTAGCAGGGAATGCAGCCAGGGCAATAATGAAAGTTCGTCCAAGTACTCGCATGATATGATTTGTTTCGGACATGTCTTGGCATGATCGAAATGCGGAAATCCCTGTGCGCCGTCTCATGTTTGAAGCTTCAGCATGGTGTTACAAAGCACGTTCTCCTTGCACTTGCTGGATGCGCATGAAGGTCTTACCATTTCCAGCTAATCATAGTTGGCAAAACGATAGTTTGTGGAACTAAGCCATCCTTTCAACATGTGCTCAGTTGCAGCTAGCTCAGCGGTTTGTAAGTGCCACATTGGTGCTTCACTGCATTCCTTGGCATGCCGCCGAGGATTTACATCGGCTGCTTCGCATGTCCGCAAGCCCCGCCAGCCCACCTCCAGCCAGAGGTGGTGCGCGGTAGCGTTAATGTTATTCGTACATTTCCTACTGACCATGCAAGGGTAGTCAACACCAGAGAAAGAGGAGGGTGATCTGATGCAACCATCGACCATAGTGTCCTCGCAGCATGAACCCGCAAGGGAACGAAAAGAGCAGGGAGATCTGATGCACCCACCCACTATGATGCTACTGGCACCATGGAAGGTCAGATGTAACAACCGAGCATCATGATGTCCTTACCATGCAGGAGCAGTGAACACGACACGGGGAGTACGCAGGTTTTATACAGCAACCTACCATGTTATATTGCTCAGGTTAAGGCGATGCACGCGATGCAAATGTTGTGAGCGGAGTAAGCGCAAGTAAGCCAACTAACCCGCACGCGAACGCATGAGCAAAAGAGATCAAAAGAGTAGATTTCCTGCGGTAGTCAGTAGTGATATACCAATTCTGACACTGCCCACCTCTAGGCTGCTTCTTCTGTGAAAGAATCAGTTTCGACCCCCCTCCCTTTCTCCCCTCCCTTACAAAGTTAGAATGCCTGTCAAAAATCAATCTCGACCACCCCTCTGACCCTACTGCCAAAGCCAGAGACAGCTCAAGCCTAGCTATGCTAGCTTTCGTGACAACAACCAACAAGGCCCGGCAACTGCAAGGGAACTCAACACGCTGGAGAATCGCCTTCGAGTTTTGGCCAGAGTAATATGCAAGATGATAGCGTGCCCTGCAAGCATAAAGCCGAAAAACTGGACACCTCTGCCACTTCCTCCTCTTCCTCTCCCTCCTTTATCTGCTCCATGAAAAGTGCCTCCAGCTCATGCACATATCAGCAGGGCAGGAAGGGAGGTCAAGCATGCCATCTGAAGTTACCAGAACAACAGCACCTCAGCTTCTGCATGTGTTGTCGGGTAGCCTTCAAGGACATAGCCACGGTAACGGCCTCCGTGAATGCAAGCTGAAGCCATGAGATGATCGGATGCATCTCCTGTTCTGAGGATTGCGGCAAACATTGGAAAGCAGGTGGCTTTGGACCAGTTTTGTCCTGTCCACAAGCAGCAAGATTTTGCTGGCACTGAGTCACCTTATGCTGCCAAGCTCTGCAAACCAAGACAAACAAACTCTCACGTCTGACAACCTTAGCTGCCTGCAAGACTGCTTTGAGGAATACCTCCGAATACGGCATTTTACTTCACCATGCTAAAGCACGCGTTGGCAAAACGCATGGTGCCGACTGCCAATCAAGAAATGTGCTAGGACTCGCTCTACTCAAGGATTCATGCACTGGTCGAAATCATGTTGAAGATGTGGCTCGCCAAGTTCTCCCCGCCACACTTCCCAAACTGAATGTCGCCCTGACATCAGCTGGTGGAGTGCCATCGTCCCATCGTATTGCGATGGCGTGAGCGTCTCACAGAATTCACAAGTGCCGAAGTGGTCGCCTACATCCGAACAGAGCGAATCCGGACCCTGGGTTGAACGAACAAATGCTGCCAACCTCGCTCGTGCTCAACATGCTGAAGAGTCTGATTGCCCCACAGCCTGAACCTCCCTGCAAAGCTGCAACGGAAAGGACTCAAGCTCCAAAGTGACGGCAATCATTAGGCCATGTCAGGCCCCACTTGTGTGACTTCTGACACTGATGACATGAAAAGGCAAGCAAGGAGACCAGCCATCAGAGCGTTACTACGGCCCCTCATGACTGCTTGCCAAAAACATCCAAAAACAAACGTGAATGCCTCGTGCTTGCAGTTTCAGATTCTACCAGATGACACCAGGTAATTACGATGCAGAGCCTCAGCGCTCAAGTTTGAAATCTTGCTGCAATGCATTCGAACATTTGTGTGGCAAACTCTGCCTTATGCTGTCTGCATGTCGCGTGTGCCTTCGTTTTTAGCCCCGACAGAACTTGCCTGAGCTGCAAGGGGAGCTTTTTGCCTGGATGAGCGGCCAGCTTCTGTACCTGAGCCAAGTGTGGACATGGCTGCTCCTGGATTCCAACACACCACGAATAGCCTGGCCTTTTTGCGGAGCTTGCGGGCTGCTCTGGTTGGCGCTGCACATGCATCTTCAATGATTTGCTGGTAGGTGAGATGTGGAGGTTCCTTGCCACGAATGCTTGCCCGCTGGGCTTAGCAAGAGGCTGACTGGTAAAAAGCTGTTCGGGTCATGTGTGGCAGTATCCCCCGCCTCGTGCAAGTAGTGCTTTGCAACTTGCGCCTGTTGCAAATTGCTGCATCCGGACCAGACCATGCGCTGAGAAAAGTGCTTCACGAACCGCCAATGAAAAATCCAATAACCATAAACTATGTGGGCTAAGCCCAAATTATTTTGATGCTTGCGTATCCAGCAGCACGACTAAGGTCCATGCACACAGGCGTTCTGCGCCGCAGCCAGGTGGCCCAACGACAACCTGCTGTGTGCTTGGCATTGAAATTCTAGCAGCCATCTCAAGCGCATTCGAGGTCTTAATCTCAAAGCCCAGCACACCATCTTGATTGGTCGAAGGTTCCTCCATTTGCAGAACTCTGCCGCCACCTCGAATGCAGCACGGAAAGAACCGCAGCCTGCCGAAGTGCTTGGCCGATCAAGGACAGCCTTCTGTATGTTTGCGATGATCCCATCACGGCACCACCAAGCAAACTTGGGTTCCTGAACGATAAGAAGCAGCAAACCCTGGCTGAAGATGATGCTACCTCACCTTCAATGGAGCTGAGGGCTCAAGGATGATGTCGAGCGACATGACCTATGCTAGGCAGTAGCTAAAAACAGCCGCTTGCACACTGTGCTGACTAGTCAAAGCAACCTCTTTGAACTCCGAATGTACTTCGTCTGCTGGACAGATTGGCCTCGTTTGTCAACAACGCCGGTATACTCCTCTCTGTTCTGTATATGTGACCCTGGAAATCTGAGACCCAAACACATCTCGATTGTGTGACATCTGTGCAATGATTCCCTTCAGCTGCAATGTTCACAACTTGGCATGGGTGATGGAGAATTGGTGCAAAGTGTCTTTGCCTGAATGATCTCTGCTTGTGTCAACCGTGAATGGTCCACGGCCTGACTCATTCCAAGAAAGACCACTCCCAACGGCAATCTTCCTGCAGCAGTGGGAAAAGGAGCAGCCTGCGCCTTCCCCATGACAGCAACCATGACCAATACTCACGGCCGCCGCCGACGCCACCACCAAATACCACTCCAGCTGCTGCAGCAGCACAGGTACCCACGACCATCAAAAAAACACACACACCACCACCGCCGCCGCCGCCACCACCACCACCACCACCAACAACACCACCACCACCACCACCACCACCACCACCACCACCAGCAGCAGCAGCAGCAGCAGCAGACTCACTAAAAGCAATATCGCCACGAGAACAATCACGACCCCCACCAAGATAAAGACAACGAGGAGGACGACGACAAGAAGGAGATCACGAAATGCAAGCACAGCCAAGGAAGAGAACCAGAACGAAGTGAGATACTAACAACAAAGGTAAGGAATATGCAAAGAAAACAGGAAACAAAAGTGCCGATGCCCCAATAGACAATTTTAGAGCTTCCTGGCACTTAGCGCTTTGTCGGATTTCACGTGATTCTAATTGCTTGGTTGCGGGACGCTCTCCGGGTGTTCTGGGATGCCATAAGATAAGATGTTGTTGCAGTACTTCCCGATTCCGGCACTTGTGATTTCTTGGCGGTGGTCTTCGTTTATGTGCCAAGCTCGAAGAGTAACCCTGTACAATCTGCCAGAGATTGCCAGAGTACAAGACGTCGGTCTTGAATGGATTCAGCTGGAATTTCAGGACTCTACTTGCAGGACGACTGACGATGATGGGGAACCTCTTCAAAGCCAGTTTGTGGTGTGTGATGTTGTAAAAGTCCGACGAAACTTGCAGGATTGCGTGGAAAATTTTGCACGAAACGGATTTAAGTCTCGAAAGATGTGGTCAGAGTTTCTCAGCTTTGGATTCGTTTCGTATTCCCTGGGATTCACCGCGGGAGCACTGGAATTGCTGAATGTTCATGAATGTCATTCCTGAGGATTCTTCTGCAACCTTCACAACCAAGGTTTCCTCCAGAGTTGGTCCTAGCGGACGGTCACCAGAAGATGATGAACAACTGCATGAAACTAGCTGAACGTTTTTGAAAGGATGTGTACTGTAAACATTGCAATAGCCACACTTATTGTAAGCATTTCTCTGTGCTAAGTACCCGTGAATCCAAAAGCATGTTCCTGCTGTATCTGGCCTTCAAGCTACAAGGCTATCACGAGGTTAAGTGTGAGAGAAGCCCCACCAACAGCTTTGAAGAACATGGGACGCTGGCAAGGTGGACAGTTGGAGCTTCGTTCTGTTGGAAGCATTTAGCATGCAATGGCCAATGAGTCTGAGTCTGAGTTGCTTCCAGCAGTAGCTCTCTCTTAGCACAGTGTTGAAGATGCTTGAGAAATCAATAGAAATCAACACCAGCGGAGGCTGAATGGGGCAGCTGAAGTCAGTGTGACCAGCAATCCAGACGTGCATTATGCACACCTCTGCCACTTCTGTTGCAAGTAGCCCGGGAGAGTTGAGGAACCTCTTCCGGACCTGCAGCATGATGCTACTTCAGGACACCTTATTTGCCAGAGAGTCAACCGAAAGGCCTCCAGGACGGATGCAAAATACAGGGACAGAACCACGCAGAGAAACTCAGAGCCGGACCAGCAGGTATGAACCCACTGTTGTATCGGAGACCACCACGCGCACTAACCGAGCAACCTTACATGTATAAACTCCACGCGTCCATTCCTTACAATCTATAGCCACAGAGATCGAGCAATGCGCATCCCGAACATGTACACACGGAAGGTAGTTGTCGCCTGAAGCAAAGCCACAGATTAGAGTAATTAAAGTGAAGCTTTCATCAAAGCACCGTGCCGGGAGCGATGATTTTGTGGACAGGCTGCGTTAGCCAGGCCTTGGAAGAACGCCCAAACCATCAGCCTTCCATAAGCATCCACGATAAGCCGCCTTCATGACATCTTGAATTTAGACAGTCTTGGCGAGGTTAGAAGTTCTTCGAACTATACCATCAGAGTCATACCCATCTCAGCTTCCAGCAGCTTTGAAGAGCTCGTTGAAAACAGTTTCACCTCTTTAAGCGCTATTGAATCCCACTCACCCCATAAGCCTGATCGACAGAGGCTCTCACCATTGCCATACAGAACTCCAGCGCCAATGACGTGCGGTCGCAGCTTGGATTTGGAGCCTGACATCGTCACCAAAGCGCACAATCTATTGATGGCGAAGCCATGCGAGGAGGGCCAAGGGATAGCGTCAAGGTCTCCAAGTACTTCCAAGCCTGGGAGCCAATGCTTCAGCAAGCTCACTACGTTGACAGACAGTGGCAAGCCTCGTATGCAGCTGCTGGCACACGACGCTCCAGGTCGGCATCAGTTAGCCTAAGCCACATGCAAAAAGAGGTCAAGCGCAAAATCATGCTGTTCGGCCGCGTCACTCTTTTGGACGCTTCTTGACTTCCTGTTCCTGGCATCAACGCTCTGGGATCTGCTCCCATATCTCAGCCGTGTAGCACCTCCAACTCATCATTCTCTACAGGCTCTTCTTCCTCCTCCTGGCCTGACTCCAACCACTCTAGATCAAAAGCGCTGAGCTTTTTTGAAACATGCTCCTCAGCGCGCGACTTTCTATAGGGACATACTGCTTCCGAGTATTTGCCCACACCTTCACAGTACAAACAAGAATGATTGGAACAGGGTTTTCTACAAGTGAAGCCGCGATCTCATGCTAAGCACAGGACCATGACGGAGGAAATCAACACAAATGTAGTTTCATGCTGAAGCTCTGCCACCTGAAATATCATCGGCATCAAGAATCGTGTTACGACAGAATTCCGAAAGCCTTCAGCTCCTTGATCAGCGTTTCTACCTTACCCGCGAAAGGAAGCTGACAAGACAATATGCATTTACTGCATGTCCAACACCCTTCAGAGCAGCACATCGTCCAGATTGGCACTGTGTAGATCGTACACAATCAAGGAGCACCTGGGAGGATGCTCCCAGACAGTTCCTTCCGTGTCTCAAAAATTCGGAGCACTACACTAAATGACAAAGCTTGCAGTAAGTACACACACACACATTTCGCACGACGAGGCTTGCGACTGGAACGTGCGTCCAAAGTGAATACGCAAACACAAACCCCTTGTATGGCCTTGCCCCATCTTACTGAAAGCAAGTCAATCGGCCAATCCAAGCGCCAACCAATTTCACAACAATCATGTCCACTAGACATGCCACGAAAAGCTGCACTTTGAAAACTTGTCTGCAATGAGCCCATACATCTTTTGGACCCAACAACCAAAAGCATATCATCAAATACGGCCAAGGCGCGACAGAACGTCGGACAGGTACTTGTGTTTATCCGCTCGAACTACAACTCTTTTGACCTGTCCACAACGTCAAAAAGAGCTGAATGCGATGCGTCACTTCAACCAACAAAATCTGGGGCTTGGACCCCTAATGAATCCAACAGATCACCATCTGCCTGTGCATTTTGCGGGGGAACTTCACCATTCGTCTTTGAACAAGACACGAAGAACCTCCAAGGAATCTTGCGTCAAACTTCCCAAGACCCGGTTCTCCTGAATTTGTCAAACCACACGTGTTCGTCATGTTAAACACTTATGCACAGCTCCTGGTCCAAGACTTTCCGTAAATCAGCACAGAGAGCTCGACCTCAAACACCGCGATGTGGACAGCCCACGCAACAAAGCAGCTGAATCAAATGAAGCCGTCACCCACATAGCTGTTCACCTTGGATGGCAGCAAATTGAGAACCGTATTGAATCATTATCACAACACAAAAATACAGAATGCACGCAAGTTGTTTTGCAGGCAGGTGCGTTGTTGATGAATATTCGCATTGCTAAAACGAGCCTGACTTGCGCATGCAACTCAACTTCAACTCAACCATGTTTTGTATAACTGGAGCGGAAGCTTCCGGCCTGGCCAACCATGCAACCAATCAGTGTTTGATGTTTTCGCTGAAAAACTTGCTTGTGCATATCTTGCAAGTCGGCTAATTGTGTCTAAAATATTTTGTTCCTGCCTCACGCAACTTTGCGCAACTTGAGCCCGAAAATCGTTTCGTGTTACACCATTTGTGCCGGCGAACACCCCAAACAGCATGGATGGAAAACATGCGATTGAAAGTTGTAGCTGGCGTTCAGCCGTTCAGCTCTTATCCGATTAAGGCGCGCGGAAAACAAAGCTGCAACAATTCAACCAAAAGGCGAGATTCGCAAATGCGGCCATGGAACTGCTTGACTTTTTTGTGGTCATGTGCCAAAACGCAATAATTTTGCTCAGCTACATTTGTTTGTTGTCACAAACGGCGTTGTTTCTGACATTTGTTATTTATGCAAGCCAACAAGCATGATCCATTTGGTCCATTTCGCTGTCAACTAAACACGATTAAGATTTTCGGCGCTAGAGCAGGGTCGAACAGGGCCGAAAACGTCGGGATATTTTTTCAAGTGATATTTTGGTTTGGTCGTGTGTTTGCTGTTCTTTCGCTGTTCGCTCGGGCAAATGCGTTTCTTTTTTGGTGGTCCCCTTCTTTTTTTGATCCATGACTCTGCCTGCGAAACGTGCCCACACATGCCGACACAACGGACGTATCGCCTAGGCTTACTATGGGCATGATGGAACATCCCCAGGCTCAATCAGTCACCGAAGCCTCCTTGAAACCATAGTCCCTCAAGCCTTGAATCCACATACTTCCCACCCAAGCAACAGCGGAGTACGTCTTGCCCACGAGTGAGCATGACGTTTGAAAGGCATAGT